TAACTGATTGGATTCAAGTGGATATGTGTTCCCACGAGCTCCCACTGTCTTTTCTTCCTTTCTCCCCTATCTGACTATCTCTTATTTTCTGTTCATTCATTTCTTAAATAGAAATTAGGTCTAAGAAGAGGAAAATCCGTTGGGCTTCGGGATGATGCGTTGGGCGGATTGAGCCCCGCGTGAACCACTACGTTCAGGAGAAATCCGTTGGGCACAGGGTCTAGGTGCTGGGCGGATTTGGTTTCAGCCAAAATCCGTTGGACGCATTACATAGGCACTGAGGGGATTTTACAGCGCATACACCCTTCCTATTGCAAAAGATCCGCTGGGCTGATTTTTTTCTTCCAATATTTCTCTTTCTCTTCCTTCAAATCCTGAATCAAAGAACAACTTGGGAGAATAGTTACTTGATAAAATATTCTCATGATTTTATGCTCTTTAAGGTTAAGATTACAGCAAAAAGATTCAAATGTTGTCTAATAAATGTGAGTTTCTCAATGAAATTTATACTCAATTAGCTCCTTAACAACTCTCCCTAACTTAAAACCTTGTTGTCCTCAAACAAAAGGTGTAAGATTTCAAAATAGACCAACAAGAGATCAAGTAATTAGAACACTGAGGTTAAAACAAAGAGATCAAGATTGAGATTAGTGACTCAACAATCAAATGGTGACCACATACCAACTAAAAGTCAAGTGACAATAATAATTTTCAAGCAAGAACTTTACTCCTTATCCACTGTCTTTCAATCTAGAATCAAACCTCTCGTTGAACTATATGACGCTCAAATTCTATGTAAATTGTGTCTGCAACTCTCTGTTCAAACACTGCACACACTGAATCAATTTTGGTATACATTTTTCATGAGTCACAAGAATAGGCTAAGCATGGATCACTAAGGTCTTAGAAGGGTTGTAATGGGGCCTGGCTGCAAGAATTCATGGTTTTTCTGGATAAACAAAAGCCAAACTCCTAAAGAGCAACTCAGAATTAATGTTTTGATGATTTATCTACCTCTATTTTCAACCCCAACTATCCTTCTCTCATCCCACTTTCTACCTCAATTATCCCACATATCCATCAGCTTTTAAAGTACAACCTTATTTAGTTGATTGGTTCATCTTCTTCAATTTTTTGTTTTTTTTTTTTGCATCATTAGAGAACTAAGTTCTCCTTCCATTATTTTCATAGAACTACCACTTGACAACTTTTCTTTCAAGACTCCCCCTAATTTGTCTCACATTTAATTTCATTTTGCTCCCTAGAGTTTGGTTAGGGGTGAGGAAATTATCATTTAGGATGAGGGGTTATAACCGGGTAGATAAGGCTAGAATATGGCTTTCAGCAAAGGGTCAATTTACTTTTATGGGACGGTTGTTTGGCACTGGTTAAGCTTTTAAATTTGAATAAAGAAATTTTTTTCCTTGATCCTTTCCATGCATCACCAATCAAGAGTACTCACAAAAGACTAAAAAAAATCAACAAGTATGCACAATGCTGAATCTCAAAAGAATCTGTTCTGTTTAACCCACTTGCTCACTCACTACTCACACAACTGGTTTGTGTTCTTAAAATTCAGACAATATCAAACTTGTTCCAGACTTGCTTGAAGATGCTTTAAGTTACAAAACTTGTTTAACAGAGTTCAACCACTTGATTTAAAGTTAACATAATAATCAATCTTATTTCTTGTTTAAACCTACAGTTTTTTCTAAAAAAAAATGAGTTTATTAACAAAAAAGGGTATGGTTTTCTTTCTATTATCTTTTCTTTCTGAGAAAATGTTGTACCAAAAAGTGATTCCTACTGGATACCAAAAGGGATGATTAATCTTCCAAAAGAGACAGAAAGTATAATTTACCAAAAAGTGATTAATTTTGACCAAAAAGAGTATTTACTCCTAAGACTGAAAAATAATTTTAAAGAAAGTTCTAAACTACTACAAGTTAACCCAGTCCAATACCAAAATGAGAGACTGACTGCTAGAAGTTAACCCGAAATAAACTAAATGCTACTAATGCACAAAATATGTAAATACTATAATAAAAACAAAAAGAAATGTCAATGTTACTCCTGATCAGGGCTCCTCTTCCTCCTGTTCTGCTTTAGCTTCCTCATCTTCTGCTGGTTGTTGGCCCTTCCCCCCTCCTGGAAAGACAGGTATGTCCCCAGGCAACTGAACATATGAATCAAAGGTGGCTAGTGTTGGCCAAGCAAACTCTGGACCTGCATGGAACTGCCACTGGTGCTGATCATAAAGACTGTTGTTGAGGGACAGCAGGGCCAAGTGATTGGAAGTTTGCATTTGCCCCATGTGTTGAACAACTACAAAAAGGTTGGAGACTTGTTGTGAAAGGTCTGCTAGATCGGAGTGTGGAACAGGACCACAATGAGGCTGTCTTAACGGTTGAGGGCCTTGTACTCCTTCATCTGGATTAAGGCAATGAGCTAAAATGTATGTGACATTGATTGAGGGGCGCAGTGGTCTAAAGGGATGAGGTGGAATGGATACTTTATGGGTCTTCAGCAACCCCATAATTAATCCTGGAAATGCAAGGGGCTTGCTGACTCCTAAGGGTGATGGCGTTGAGAGCACACAGGAGTGGATCTCATCGGAGATGATGCAGGCTATGTCCAATCCATATCTCTCTAGAATGCAAAAACTGACTTCATCCCGGGGGATGTTTAGATCATATATGTGAGTCAAAGGCTTGATGTTACAATAAATGAAACTCTGCCAAATCATGACCAACGTCTTCAAGTCCTTCCTCAAAAAATTAGTTGGCTTCCCAGTACGCCCCACCTCATAGGATCTCCCAGGTAGACAAAGAACAAATGTAAGCACACTGGGCTGAAAATACATGTTTCTTTGCAGCCTGGTGAATGTATCCCTGCCGACGGGTTGGTGTTTTCAGCCCACCAGTCCGCTTTGGCCCGTCCCGCCAAGCCCGCCAAGCCGTCGAGCCAACCCGCGGGACGGGGCGGGCCAGCCCGCGACCCACCTAATTAATAAAAAAATATGTTTTTATTATAATAAAATTAATTATAAAGATAATATATAAAGTTATAAATTTTAAAAAGAGAATTAAAAAAGTTTGACTCTCACGAGAAAATATTCTCCTTACTTGAAACACAACCTTCTCTCTTGTTCTCCTTGTTCATCCTAAGCACTCGATTATTTTTATCCTTATGACTTAAATTAAAAGTGTAAGAATTACTCAACCAAGAATAATGTGAAGTTTTATCAAATAAAAAAGATATAGATATTTGAATTTTTCAATATAAAAAATATAAATTTTATAAGTTTTAACCTTATATATATACATATATATATATATATATATATATATATATATATATATATATATATATATTTGTTATTATTTATTAATATGTAAATTTTATTATTGTTCTAAATTATAATTTCTTAAAACAATGTATTGATTTATATTATTAAATTAAAATAATATATATATTGAATTATTGACAAACAAATAATAATTTTATTATTAAATTTATAAAAAAAATTATTTTAAAAAATAAATTATTTTTTCTAAATTATGGCAGGTCAGCCCGCCAACCTGCCCCGCCCCGCTTTTGGCGGGCCAAAGGCGGGGCAGGCTGGTCCCTTTTTACCATCCCTAATGTCGTCGTCCCCAATGTTGTAGTTAGTTCCCAGAAACTCATCAATGGCATCCCTATCATAGGGAATGTTAGTGCCCCTAATCCAAGAAGTTCTGGTCTTCTCTGTCCTGTGGAGGGGAAAAACATTGACATAAAATTCTTTCACGAGTGTCTCATTAAATGTTTCTTCAGGCTGAGCTAATCTTCCCCAATTCCTCCTATTGATCTCTTCTTGAAACTCATCCCACTCGCCATATTTAAGCTTTACGCTTCTTTCCTCTAAGATTTTTCTGCCCTCAATGTCTAAGAAGCACTACTATTTTTCTTTAGTTAAAATTTTTTCACGCTACCAAGTGAATAATGACAGTGGCATAGTATCGGCAAGAATTGTTTCTTGAGAAGATGATTGGCCTTTTCGCTTCTTAGATGCTGGGATTTGGTGAGTGGATTTTTTTGACATGATACTACAGAGAGGTAAGAAATAAATTCACTGCAAAAGGGGTTAGATGCAAAACAGAGATACATGGGTTATTCTAAAAGATATTAACACACATAAAACTCATCGTCATGCTCCCTAAACACATTAAAAGAAAGTGGAGCCCTATTTGTACTATTAAAACTCATATTGGCATTTTTACAAACACTTGGTAGACAAAAGACAAAGACATTCTTACTACACATTTAATCAATCAAATACTTGATGCATTTTCACAGATGTAAGCTAGTCACTAAACTAAATAATCACAATTTAGGGAAGCAAGTCAGCCACACACATATAAACTACTCACACCTGCAACTCATCAAACACTAGGCAGTCAGATAACCAAATAAGCATAAGATTAAAATGGGTATTTAGTCAAACACATGGTGTGCCTACCCACATTCTTATCAACATGTCCACCATTCAATCATCCCCAAAAAGAAACTTCACAAAAACGAAATAAAATCACATGACAAAAGGAGAGTTCAACAAGGGAACCAATTAAACAATTAGTCAAACACTTGGTGAGTAGTTCTTCATTCTCTGCCAATAATTCATGTGACCTAATCAACCCCTCACCAATACCCCCAGAAATAGCGCACAATCACAAGAAAGAACCAAATTCATCCCCAAAAACAAATAGATAAGCGTGAACCAGAGAAGATGGAGAGAAGAATATGTACCTTGTGGAGAGTGACAATAAAGGTAAGGGGCTCACACAATGCAAAGAAGAAAGATGAGGGAAAGGGGAAAGAGAAGATGGAAGGAGAAGTTGAGATTAGAGTTTAAGGGGAAGTTGAAGGGAAAGTGGTTTTTGAGAGAGAGAGATGAGTGTTGGGGAGAAAGAGTTGAGCGTGAGAATGAGAGTGAAATTGAGAGAGAAGGGGAATTGAACCCTTTTGAAAGTGTTTTTTTTTTCAGCCAAAATCCGCTGGGCGCATTTCTGATGAGCTGGGCAGATTTGGCAGCGCATGCACCCCCCTTTTTTTTTGGCCAAAATCCGTTAGGCACATTTCTGAGGTGTTGAGCGGATTTGATGCAGCGTCCACCCCTTGTGTTGCACAGAATCCGTTGAGCGCAGACCTTAGGCACTGAGCGGCTTAATGCAGATAAAATTTTTGAAAGGGGTTGGGCAGATATCCAGGAGGCCTAACTCTTCTTCTGATATTTAAGTGTTCTCTCGGCCAACTCAACTTTTCATTTGCCCTTCTTTGTCATGCTTGCTTCCTTTGTTAAACACTCCACACTACAACAAACTATCACACATATTACATGTATTCACATTAAAACAGTTAGATGCATTGACAAAAATAAACAACAAGGATAAAATAACAAAACGTGCTAAGTTATTGTCATTAGCTTGACAAGATTCCAGTCACTTTAGATGTGTAACAGTGGTGAGCCTCTCAACTTCACCTCCCAAGTAAGGTTTTAGCCTCTGACCATTGACTATCCAGGTTCTCCCAGTGCTAGGATCTTCAAGCTCTATTGCCCCATATGATTTGACAGTCTTAACCAAAAATGGGTCTGACCATTTGGACTTAAGTTTGCTTGGAAACAACCTCAATCTTGAGTTAAACAGGAGAACTGATTGACCTGGTTGGAATTTTCTCTTCAAGATCTTTCTGTCATGATAGGCTTTTCCTTTGCTCTTGTAGATCTTGTTCTCATAGGCCTGCAACCTTAGCTCTTCTAACTCATGCAACTGGAGTTTTCTCCTTTCACCAGTCGTCTGCAGGTCATAATTTAAAGACTTAAGGGCCCAAAATGCCCTATGCTCTAAATCTACAGGCAGGTGGCAAGCTTTGCCATAAACAAGCTGAAATGGAGTCAGTCCCACAGATGTCTTGTAAGCTGTCCTATAAGCCCATAAAGTATCATCTAGCTTCATGGCCCAGTCCTTCCTTGAGCTTGCCACTGTCTTCTCCAAAATTTTCTTTAATTCTATATTAGATACCTCAGCTTGGCCATTTGTTTGGGGGTGATATGGTGTGGCTACCTTGTGCCTCACTCCATAATGCTCAAGAACTTTCTTCAGTTGTGTGTTACAAAAATGAGAACCACCATCACTGATGAGTACTCTTGGAGTTCCAAACCTGCAAAACACATTTTTCTTTAAAAATCTTATCACGGTCTTGGCATCCGCTTTTTGGGTGGCAATTGCTTCAACCCATTTTGACACATAATCCACCGCCACCAAAATGTATTCATTAGAGTATGAGGAGGGCAATGGACCAACAAAATCAATCCCCCATCAGTCAAACACTTCAACTTCCAAAATATTTTGCAGAGGCAATTCATGTCTTTTTGTGATGTTCCCAGTTCTTTGGCACTTGTTGCAGTTCTTGCAATTCTCATAAGCTTCTTTGAAAAGAGTGGGCCAGTAAAAGCCTGATTGAAGAACTTTGGCTGTTGTTCTTTCCCCATTGTAGTGTCCGCCATAAGGGAAATTATGACAATGCCACAAGATGTCTTTAGTTTCCACCCCTGAGACACATATTCTCAGTAGACCATATGCACCAATCTTGAACAGATATGGATCATCCCAAACAAAATGAGATGCATCCTTGAAGAATTTCTTTCTCTGATTCCAATCTAAATCTTCTGGAACTACTCCAACAGCCTTGAAGTTTGCCATGTCTGCAAACCAATGTCTTTCTTGAATGGAAAAGAGTTTTTCATTGGGAAACTCCTCAAGGATCTCCCTCTCCATGATGGTCACCTCTCCATTTACTAACTGTGACAGATGATATGCAACGTTGTTCTCACTGCCCTTTTTATCCCGGATTTCCAAATCAAATTCCTGCAACAACAGTATCCACCTAATCAGTCTAGGCTTAGAATCGGGTTTGGTTAATAGGTATTTTATGGCTGCATGGTCAATGTATATTACAATCTTAGATCCAATCAAATAGGACCTAAACTTTTCTAGAGCATACACTATAACAAGTAATTCTTTCTCAGTAGTAGCATAGTTTATTTGATTTTCATTCAAGACTTTACTTGCATAATGTATTGCATGAAAGATTTTGTTTTTTCTCTGACCAAGGACAGCCCCCACAGCATAATCAATTGCGTCACACATGAGTTCAAAATCAAGGTTCCAATCGGGAGCAATGATTATAGGGGCTGAACTTAGTTGAGCTTTAAGAATGGAAAAAGCTGTAAGACAATCATTATTAAAATTAAATTTTGTATCCTTCAGAAGGAGATTGCTGAGAGGTTTAACAATCTTGGAAAAATCCTTGATGAACTGCCAGTAGAAACCTGCGTGTCCCAGAAAACTCTTTATTCCTTTGACATTGGTTGGAGGTGGCAATTTTGAAATGATGTCCACCTTGACTAGATCTACCTCTATTCCTCTTTATGAAATTTTGTGACCCAAAACTATGCCTTTCGTCACCATAAAGTGACATTTCTCCTAGTTCAATACCAAGTCGGTGTCAATACATCACTTCAGCACAATATCAAGGTTATTCAGACAAACCTCAAATGATGAACCAAACATGGAGAAATCATCCATGAATATTTCTATGCATTGCTCAACTAGATTGGAAAATATGGAAAACATGCATCGTTGGAAGGTAGCTGGAGCATTACAAAGCCCAAATGGCATCTTCCTGTAAGCAAACACTCCAAAAGGGCATGTAAATACAGTTTTTTCTTGGTCTTCCAGATCCACGGCTATTTGGTTGTAACCAGAGTATCCATCCAGAAAGCAATAGTAAGCTTGCCTTGCCAACCTCTCAAGCATCTGGTCCATGAAAGGTAATGGGTAGTGATCCTTTCAGGTTGCCTGATTTAGCTTCCTGTAGTCCACTCGGTCATTGTTTGAGTAGGAATCAACTCATTTTTGTCATTGAAAATCACAATCATGACTCCCTTCTTGGGCACAACTTGAACAGGACTCACTCAGGCACTATCGGAGATTGGGTAGATCATGCCTGCCTCCAATAGCTTTGTAACTTCTTTTCTGACCACCTCTTTCATAGTTGGGTTAAGACGCCTCTGCGGTTGGGCCACCGACTTACAATCTTTCTCCATCAAGATCCTGTGCAAACAGTATGAGGGACTAATTCCTTTGAGATCTGATAAGGTCCAACCAATGGATCCTATATTGTTTTTCAACACCTCCACCAGCTTTTCTTCTTCCTCCTCTTGCAGATAATTGTTGATAATCACTGGCTTGCCACCATTTCCATCAAGAAACACATATTTTAAATGTGGTGGAAGCTGTTTTAATTCCAGCTGTGGGGAAGAAGAACTACCTTGTCTCACCAAATCTTCCTTTGCTACACCATTAACAAGCTCCTTACCTTTTTCCAGCTCTTCCAAACACTTTTGCACCTCTTGATCATCAATTTCTTCCATTGAACTTGTTAAAGCTTTCTCCAATGGTTCAGAATGCCCAATTTTTACACATGTCTCCGAGTAGATTTCATCCAACACCTCTATCTTGAAACAATCTTTGGAGTCTTTAGGAAACTTCATTGCTTCAAAAACATTGAAATTGACTTCCTCATCCTCTACTCGGACTTTCAGCTTTCCATTGTCCACATCAATGATGACTAAGGCTATCTTCATAAATGGTGTTCCTAAGATCAGTGGAACTTCTTTATCCTCTTCCATTTCCATAACCACAAAATCAACTGGAAATAGAAATTTGTCCACCTTCACTATCATATCTTCCATTATCCCGTATAGAAACTTGATTGATCTATCCGCTAGTTGTAGAGTCATTGGGTGGGCCTAACTTCAACATCTCCAATCTTTTTCAAAATGGATAATGGCATCAAGTTATTGCTAGCTCCCAGATCCAAGAGTGCCTTGCCTACTGCTAAGTTGCCAATAGACACCAGAAGAGTGAAGCTACCTGGATCTCTGGATTTCTAGGGTAAAGATTTTTGTATGATTGCACTGCAGCCAGCCTCTAACTCCATTGTATCTTATTCAAGTATCCTCTTCTTTTTAGTCAATAGCTCTTTCACGAACCTGGCATACATAGGCATTTGTTCCATGGCCTCAGTAAATGGGATATTGATCTGGAGCTTTTTAAGGATGTCAAAAAACCGAGCAAATTGTTTTTCCTTCACTTTCTTAGAAGGAGCATGAGGGTATGGTAAATCTTGAACTGGGCTTTAGAAGCAACTCCTTTGCCCTTGATCAAACTTCTCTCCTCAATTGACTCCTTCTCTTTTTTATTTTTTTCCTCTTGTTTATTCTCATTGGGAAGATCCTCCCCATTATTTGTCTCCACCTCCTCCTTCTCAACTTCCTTTTCAACTTCTTTATTCTTCTTGCACACTTCACTTTCAACCAACCTAGTGTTTTTCTCTTTCTCAACATCAGCACCAACCACTTTGCCACCTCTTGTGATAATGGCTTAACAATGCTCCTTCGGATTGACCTTGGTGTTAGCAGAAAAATATGTACCTTTAGACATACCAGCCAACTGTTTTGCTAGTTTTCCCACTTGGACTTCTAGATTCTTTATGGAAGCATCCATGTTCTTCTGATTTGCAATAGACACTTGCATGAACTGAGTCAAAGTATCCTCCAACTTGCTGGTCTTCTCATACAATGAAGGATATCCTGGGGCTGGTTGTTGTTGCTGCACTGGGGGCGGCCTATTAGACGGTCCAACTTCATTCCTCCATTCCATTGCTTGATTGTTGGGATTACTCCTCCAACCTTGATTTCCTTGTATATAATTTTGGGGGTTATAATTACGGGCATTAAAATTACCCCCTCTCTGTTGATTACCAAGGAAGTTAACTTCTTCATCAATTGCATTTTCCCCACAATGACCATTTGGGTGCTCTCCTCCGCAAAAATCACACCGGAGTGGTGGACTTAGCTGGGCTGCTGGAGGGTTGATAGCATTTAGCTATTGTGGAATCTTGGCCATTTATTTTGTCAAGGCTTCTATTTGTTGAGATAACAATTTGTTTTGAGCTAAAAGTGAATAATTTGTGCTCAAATCCATGATCCCTCTTCGGTGAGATTGGTGTCTTCCATGTTGAGCTTTGTAGACCCCAAATCTTGCCCGGCCTCATAATAAAGACAAGAAGACCTCCTTTTCGAAGATGGATGAAGCCT